GCCAGAAAGAAAGGAGGCCAGTGCACCATCACAAAAACAAAGTCGCAAAACTCATAGCACACCGCCCCAAAGCGGCCGTGGCTCTTGAACTAAAAATAGCGCTTTAACAAATATTATTTATTGCTAATATATTATAAATTTCAAAAGGTAAATTTCATAATAAATATAATTTATTATTAATTTCAATATAATATTCTATAATCATCAAAAAATAATTTTCGTCCCAAATACATATTCGTTTTAATCTACAAAATATTTCATTTATTCTATCATTTATGTAAAAATTCCTTCACTCCCCCATTTTCATCCTTTCACTCATCATCACAATCTCCATCTTCATCATCTCTCTAGACCCCAATACATCTACAATCATCTAAATCTTGAGATTTTCTACTACTACACCTCTAGACAATTTTCTTTATATATTTACAACCTATAAAAATATATAATTATATATCATAAACATATAGATAATAAACTAAATAATACCGAATTCATTTCTGTTTGTATTTCTTGTGTATTAAACTATATTCATATAAAACGCGATTAAGATTCATTTCACATTTAAAATATACATTTATACATCATTCTATTTTTTAAGTTACAAAGCAACCAACACCCAAGCTTATTGCCCTTGTTGGTGTTGGGTGTATGTCTTCAGAAATTCAACATCCCCTTCGATGTTGAAATGGTCTGCACCTTCAAAAGCAGGAGGAGTTGAATCCCCGTCACTCCTCCCTACACCTCCCTTCGCAAAGGAGTCACACCCCTCCACTTGCCCATGGCACTGTGACTGATCACATTTGTCCTTAGGGCAATCTTTCCTCAGACCCAAAACAGGAAAGTTCAGCGTGCACGGGCAAAACACGCATCAACTTTGAGATGGCATCTGCATCTTGATTAAGCCTACATTGTACAAATTGTGCAGGCTGAGCACTGCACGCGAGGCTAGTCTACCATAATGCTGCAGACTCTCTTGCAGCTGTCAACGCCACTGGAACGCCAACTTTCACATGAGGGTATCTTGGATTTGCTTAAGGCGCTCGAAATCCAACATAGTCCAACCACTTCAAGAAGTCCTGTGGTGTTCTGTGGTTCTGTGGTTTTGCCCCCCCCCACGGAGCGTCCCCAGCCGAGAACGACTTGGATACAAGAATTAGCTGCATCTCAACATCCTCAATGACACTAGCAGCTGCATCTTGGAACCCTCCAAGTCAAGATAGGAAGGCACAACGTGCAGCTTCAACCAAATCCTCCAACATCAGACAGTTTAAAGATGCTTAAAGTACCTTGAAGAAGCGTGCTTGTTCAAGGAAAGCGAGGAAGCACTCACTTCGCTGCCGGTGTTTGCTTGATAGTCCCGTCAGCAAAACATACCTCTTCAGGGCACGCAAACGAGTCCCAAGCAATCCACAATTCCCTTCTATTCTTTTTGTCGATAATGTTAGGAACAAGAAGCTACTAGGGGCTTGTGGCCTTACTACTAGGAATAACGAAGCTACTAGGGGCTCCAGGCCTTACTACTAGGAACAAAGAAGCTACTAGGAACAATTCCCTTATGTCTCTTCTTTTCATTCCAGTTTTACCATTCCGTAATCGTACATCTCCGATTGGTCCAGTTTTCGAACGGTTCAGGAGAGAACAGGTCTAAAGGTCCAATCAAAAAAAGACAAAGAAAAAACAAGAAAACAAAAAAGTAAAAACACCTACTAGCAATGGCCTCCAACCTAGAAGAGAGAAAGAAAAAAGGAAAGAAAGAAAAGAAAGGAAAGAAAACAACAGCATCTTTCAGAGCGGCCAATGGGATCTTCAGCAAGTAAAATTGGCAATTTAGTAGCAAGGTGTATCTCAAGTATGAAGCAAATGTGCTAGGAGCAAGGACGCTACTAGGGACTCCTGGCATCGCTACTAGGTGCATTCGTACTACAAGGAACAAGAAGCTATTAGGAACAAGTGCATCGCTACTAGTAACAAGTGCCTTACTAGTAGTAACAAGAAGCTACTAGGGCTGGCAGCGCCCTAGACCTTCACATCGACCCTCACAGCTCACATCCCCACACCCTTCGAGAATCCGCCTCTTCCGATCCATCCGAGAAAATCTTCTTGGTGGTCCCATTGGGGAAGCCTTGGCACGTTTTCAATCCAAGCCGATGAACAAATGAAAGGTTGCTCTTTCTGAAGTGTCTTCTCAAGTATCTTGAAGCGGTTTCCCATTCTGAGAATGCAAAAAAGAGAAGTCGTATGTTCCTAGTAGCGATGTTACTTCTTGTTCCTAGTAGCTTCTTGCTCCTAGTAGTAAGGCCAGGAGCTATTAGCAGCGTCCTTGCTCCTAGTAGCGATGTTTCCAGATTCTTTCGAAAGGTTCGTTCATTCTCTTTTCTCCTCCGCTGTCCTCTCAGTGATTCCAAACCACGCAAGTTGGCCGGTCTTGAGCTTAACTGAACAACTTGTTTTTGCTCTTTCAAGAGAACACTCTCTTTTAAGACATCTACTTAATTGAAGCAAGCTATACTATATATGTATGTGTTTAACGCATCACTGATTTGGTTCCTAGATGTTTCTAGACACTTAACTTCTACACCTTTTCCGCCTTTTCCTTTTTCCTTCCTTTCTGTCTTTCTTTCCTGCCATTTACCAGAAGCCTGTTCAAGAGGCTTTGGGTGGACACCAAATTGGCTGCTGATGCGATGAGTTGTCTGGCAGTCGGTTCGCTTCATGTCCCGCATTCCTTGAAACCTTGTTGTCCGACACACTTACGTATCAGACTTTGCAATAATTATCTTGTCCAATTGGCGGTTGCCAAAAAAAAACATAGTAGAGGCCAAAACCTAAGACCTCGCACAACCATGGCCATTAGTATTAGTAATTAGTAATTATTAGTATTCGCAAGGATTTTGGCTCTTAATTTTAAAAGGCTTCATGTCCGTCAAACTAGGAAACCGATCTCTACCCTTTCCTTGCTGCTAAGAGCTTCCTCTCTTTAATGACTTGCCTTAGTGGTTACTACTCACGCTACCTGGCCCTACTCTCGTTTCCACCCCTCTTCAGGGCCTCCGCAGTAGCGTCCTTGCTCCTAGTAGAAATGCCCGTTGTTACTAGTAGCTTCTTGCTCCCAGTATCTCCCAGTAGCGATGCCAGGAGCCGGCTGCCGCTTACATGCCATCACATGCGCGCATTCTTCTGCGCTTCCACAACTCTAAACCCGCCAGGTGGACAGTTGAGTCAATTGCTCTGTGCCGCTTTTTGACCAGGGTCGTTTCAGGCCGGCCAGGTTGGAACTTTCATGTTATTGTCCACATGTTGTGAACCCTCTGCCTCAAACCACCCCACCTGGTGTACTGCACAACTCATAGAATCTGGAACTTCGCCAAGCATCGGATCTCTTTGGAGCCGTCGAGACCTGAGGTGAGCATCTTTGTCCAACACAAAGGAACCTAATAGCGAAATAAACCAAAGAGCGATGGCCTCCAACCTGCCAATCAAGCAATAAATCTTTATGAACATTAAACGATATCAACCCCCTTAACCACTGACAGCTTCTTGGAATCTTCTTCTCCTTTCCCTTCATCTCCATCACGGCTTTGTGGACTTGTTTAAACATGTTTGCCAATGACCTTCACCCACATTGAACCGCCAAGTTGGACCATATTGAGAGGCAACAACTCATATTAACACAGGGCAAACAAAAATCAAGGTACAAACACGTCGTGGAGCATGGCGGGATTTCGAGCAAACACGGCCTCCTAACATGAGGCCACGCTCAGCTGATCCAACATGAACCCCAAACACTAAGCAACGTCATCCTGAGATGGTGAACACTGTTACCTCACTGTTGAAGTGTGTTCAACACTCAAAGCTCAACATTCCATCGTAACAAGCTACACATTGCCTCAGATTGCATCCAACCCCACTTGGTGTATACCTGGAAGATTGGACCACTGCCGGTTCCGCTGCGGAGACAAAGAGACAGCTCTGCGTAAGATCTCGTGACAGTCACGAGCGTCACTCAGCTGTGTGGGAAAACAACAAAGTTAAAACTTAAAACAGTTCTTGGCAGCATTTGGTCTAACTCTAAGAGCAACAAGGACGCTACTAGGGGCTCCTGGCCTCGCTACTAGGATCAAGGACGCTATTAGGGGCTCCTGGCCTTACTACTGGGAACAAGAAGCTACCTTTTGTTTATTGGCCGAAATGGGATTGTTCACTGTGGTGGCCACCTGTGTGATCGATGTCCATCTGCTTATCCAAAACTGGTCTTCATGACGCGAGCAGAAGTTTAAGTGTCACCTCAATTCTAGGAAACCCCTAGTACCTAGTAACGCTACTAGTAACAAGTGCATCGCTACTAGTAACAAGTGCATTACTACTAGGAGCAAATAGCTACTAGTAGCGATGCCCTTTGCTCCTAGTAGCGTCCTTGCTCCTAGCACACGAAAAGTGCGAGGGCTTTCCGTCCAAGCCTCAGAAACCACTTAAAACGAGAGTTGCCCCTTACGTGTTGACTTGTAGGCTCCTAGCTAAGGACGCCCACCCCCCGCGGACAAAGAAAACAACGCACAAAAATCTGAGAACCCCTGCTGTGGCGCTCGGTCTGGCCATCGCTGAACCTGGAAAACCAGGAACCCCTAGTAGCGTCCTTGCTCCTAGTAGTAAGGCCAGGAGCTCCTAGTAGCTTCTTGTTCCTAGTAGCGATGCCAGGAGTCCCTAGTAGCGTCCTTGCAACTTTACAACTAAAAACACTTCCCAATGTCAAGTTTGAGGTCCACAACTACGAAGGCTCCGACCGATCGCAGGTTTTGGAAGTCTCTATATGGGTCAAGTCCTTTGGACCAAAAAACGAGTGAACTGCACACTTTTTGTGGATAAACCACAATTAAACAAAAGGACAATCAGAAGATCCTTCCTATTAGGTTGGAGGCCATGCTTAGGGCTCCATGAGCGTGTGAAGGATTGCCCACCTTCACACGCTTTAGGTGTGACACCCTAGCCGGGCGCGTTTCATGGGACGCGGCTTGGCGTTGGTGGCTTTTGTTTTCCTCGGCCTTTTTCTGGATCATAGTGGCTCTGGAAGCCGCGTGGCATCGGAATCGCCGGAGGAGGCGACAGAGGGCGCGCGCTTTGTTGCGGAGGTTCAAGAACAGGGGTGCTGGAAAGAAGGTGCGCAAAAAAATTGCAACCTATCGAAGCATCCTGCATCGGCATCACGGGTCCATGCCTCCCGCGACGATGAGTCAAAAGCAGTGGATGTGCCGGAAGTGTTGGGTAACAACACCCATGAGTGTGTTGTACTGCCATTCATGTCATTCATGGTGGCAGACAGTGCTTCATACTCAATCGCGCTCCAAGTCCAGGAAGAGGAAGATCGAGGAGAACAAGCAGAAGCCCAAGAAAGGAGACGACAAAGAGAGTCAAGAGAACGTGCTCTGCCTTACGCCCTTCTCCAGTCGGAAGAAAGGGGGCAAAGAGCTCGCGGGTGTGCCATGGGTGCAGACCACGCCATCGACCAGAATCGCTGTGGAAACAGTCGAGGCACAGGGGGAGGACCTACCTTTGCCCCCAGCGCCAGAATTGCCACAGCCACCAGATCCACCGGAGATCCCAGCCGAGGTTCGTGCCAAGGTGGAAGAAGTGAAAAAGACCTTGGGTCCTGCATACAATCAGGAGATCGAGGCAAAGATCTTGGAGTCGGCAGCAAGTCAGTTGGCTCAGCCGGCCAAAGCAGAAATTACTCATGGAGACTTGAACAAGATCTCACAGGCAAAGAAGCAATACCTCAAAGCCAAAGAGGATGTTGCCAAAATAGACAAGGATTGGTTGCATTTTGCAAAGACGATCCAAGCAGCATATGTGCGAGAGCAAGCTGCGTACAAGGAGCAAAGGGCCGAAGCTATCAAGGAGCTGCAGTTGAAGAAGGACAAGTTGAGGGAGCTGCAGGATGCAGTACGACGCTCAGCGCTGTCTCAATTTGGCGACCAGGAGGAAGTGCCGCTAGCTGTAGCAGAAGATGTGTACCCTTTGCCGCAGGACGAGCTGGAGGAAATGGTCTCCGACGAAGAGCTCTTGGCCGAGACAGAGGTCAAGGTGTCCGGGAGTTTTATCCATGCTCCGCAGCCATTTGGGAGATTGGCACCTTCTCCTACGAGAAAGGCGGAGAAGCAAGAGGGTCGCCAATCCAAGAAGCCGAAGAATCAAAATGCTGTTGCCAGTGGGGAGCCAGGGTCCTAGTCGAGGAGTTCGTCTTTAAGAAGAGCTATGTGGTCTTGGGCACGACTACTTATAGAGTTCTATGTCCGAATTGGAATTGGATTGGGATGAGTCATTTGGCGCCTTTTTTGGCTGACTATGACTGCAAGCCAGTTCGAGTTCTTCAGTTCACTTTTTCCTGGTTCCCTGGTAAGCGGCTTTTTCCAACCGGTTTAGATGGTCTTGGGTATAAAGATTACGGGTGGTTAGTGGATGGTCACCCTGGGTCTGCCAAGTCCAGTGCATTTCAGGAATTGTGTGTTAGTAGTAGTGCCGTAAGTGCCTGCTCTTCGTACACACGAGCGCAAGTAGAGGCTTGCCTTTCGAGTGAAAACAGCATTTTGCAAGCATGGTGGTTCTGCCATGGCTGGGCATTCACTCAGGGTAACGAGCCACAATCTCGGCCCGAAAGCTATAATCTTTCGGGTACATCAGCCAATGATCGAAAGATTGCTGAGGTTCAATGGGAATTGCTAATCATTAAGATTTGCTTCGATTGTGCAACTGTGATCGCAGGTCTGTTGATGGGTCTCAAGCGCATTCTCAGATTGTGTTGTGTTCCTTGCGTCAGGCGTAAAAGAATGGTGGTGGTCAAGGGCAGTAGGCATCAGGTTGTGGTGCAACGCAAGCCTCGAGTCCCCGTACGCTTGATCGTGTTCATGATTTATCTGATTTTGACCGATGCTCAGTTGATGGACCCTAGAAATGGTTCACATGACAAAGGCATTGGTGGCCAATCTCCCCAAGAAGTTAGAGTGCAACAGGAGTCACCGGCTACTAGAGTTGTACTAGGCAACCAAGCTGTCTGGGCCAGTATTGTTGGTGCCATTCAAAGTGATCTTGTGCCGGTGGTTGTTCACTCGCCTGATAGGATCCAGCAATTTCACATTCCACGGACCGACCTAGTCGATGTGGAGTGGCCACAAAAGTTCATTGCGTGTGACGTGGCCGCGGGGAGTTGGAATTTGTGGCCTGTGACGCCACAGCCCAGTTCAGAATGCTGTGCCTTAGTGCTTGCAGAGCACGGGTCAAGTGAAATCCCAATCATGATAGGCTTGGACTGCCAGGTGTGTGTAGTTCCCAGAGGCCAAGCAATTCATACTGCAGTGCCAGGTGAAGCGGCCAGACTTGAACAAGCCGCTACAGGTTATTGGTATCGGCGTGGAGTGCTTAGTGATTCGTCTGTGCTGATGCAAACACATGTCGGGTTCACTCAAAGTGATAGTTTTAGATGGCATCAGTGTATCCCGACTAACAAACCACTATCCGTCAAGGTTTGGAAGCATAGCCATCTAGTTGCTAACCGTTTCCTATCAGAGCATAGGTTCGCTAGGGTCTGTGTAGGACAATGCCTGCAATCAGTCATAGTTCGTGACTTTGACGAGTGGATACAAGGTCGTGACTTTGCAGTGCAGCTCGTCGTCTTACATGCCAGGTGGACGAGGGGCTGTCAAGTTATCCTGCACACCAGGTCCGCGTTTCCTTTGATCCCTATTCTGGTGAGAGTGACCAGAGATTTTGAGGTTCGTGTTGGCACGATTCTCTTTCGTGAAGGATGGGATGACTTCCGTGTCAAGACACTGTTTGATAAGATCGATCCAGTCAGTGATTGTGTTAATCAATATGAGTGCTTTGTACGTGAAGGTGACAATATTTGGCATTGGAACCAAATTTTTCGTCCTATTCATGGAAGATCTTACGACGTTTTCCTGAGGGAATTACAAGCATTAGTCTCCAGTTCCAACAGCACATGTACGTCTCTTGGGACACAGGGGGATGGTTCGTTACAGCTGGCAGCGAGTTCATGCGGATCGATGCAGCGTGAAGACCGAGACTACAGTGATGGCAGTGAGGATTTGCATCAAGGTCGGGAGAACACTGCAACCCGACGCGACAATGGTAGTTTGTTGGATGTCGGAGAAGAGAGTCATGATCAGGTCATGTTAATGCAGAGAACGCTGACCGAGCCAGCTGGAATGGGAACGAGTAGTACAACGGGAGGCTATGGTGGAGCAATGGATGGGGCAAACACTGCAACCCCGAGGAATATAGACGGAACGAATGTGCACTTCCAGTGGGCTAGAGTCTTACAGGCCAGTCGAAATCAACAATCCCTTCAACCAGTTGTTAACTTTGCAACACCGAATTTCGTGCGTGCAGATCAGCTGCGACAATGGATTCGGGATGCTCAATGGATTTGAGCCTGAGCAAGAGATCATTATGCTAGCGGTGTGGAGGTTTCACTTTGCACTGCCAATAGTATATGATTGTGATAGGGTCATGTTGCATGAGGACAATTGGTCTAAAGTTTTTCGTGCTTACTGGAAAGTGACTGACGACTTCAGGGTGCCTCGTGTGGCAGCAGTTATGCCGCAGCCTCCTAGGATCGATAATTTAGAGCCAGTACAGCTCCATGTCTTGGCTTTTGAAAACCGCAAGGTTCCGAATGACCAAATGATGCATTTGTTCGACATATGGCAAACCGATGACATTGGCGTTGCTACTGGTCGGACATTTGTAGCCAGAAGGGCAATTAGATGTCCCAGGACGGCCACCGTGCATGAAATTGGTTTGATGTTGCAGATTGATCTGTTGATATACCATGCTAAGACCGCAGTAGTGATTTTTTCACTCAAGAATGGTGCACAGAGAATGATCTTCAGATCTGATCAGGAAATTCGAGTTCCTGATTTCTCTTATTTGGACCTTGTACTCTTAAAAGACAAGGAACAATGTTTGCATACCGAATGGCAGGCACCCAGCAACAGGCCAGCCAGTATGGGTATTCAACAGATCGAGGGAAACACTGCAACCTCGGACAATTCAGTGGCAATCGGAAGTGGAGAACAGGAAGGAATTAGCCTTATGCAGATATTTGCGGCTTCTGGTTCTGGGATGTTTACCAGAGACCTGTTGCAGCATAGGGTGTGGAGCCGCCGCCTGATACAGACTGCACCACCAGAAGTGCATTGGGCTGATTTCCGAGCATTTGTTTCCAGAACGACCAATATAGTTGACTTTGCAGGCATGCAGCAAGAGTCAATGGCAATTTGTAGGACAGGAGCAGATGTGGTCACTTTCACATTGGGGCATGCCACCACGGGGCTTGAACATTCTTGGGCGTGGCCTTGCCACCTCCCAATTTTTGATTTTCAGGACCTTGTGAGTCAATTGAGGTTTGAGATGTGGGATGATGCTGACATTGAAAGTGAGTTCACGGCAGCTCATGTCTTCCCGCAAGTGACTCCTCGAGAGTCCGATCATGCCGACGTGATCTACATGGTGGGAGCAGTGGAAGGACACACTGAGATGGTTCCGATCCTCATCGTGGTATGGACAATGCTAGAAGATGGATATCACGTTGAAAGAGTACCAGTTCAGGTTGCACGGCTTTTGCAATGCGATCTCCTGTTGGTTCTAGCAGGAGTTGACGTGTTGTGTCAGCATGTAGCAGTGGTCTGTGAAATTAGCCATGACTCACAATTGCGCCGTAGGCAGTCATGGTATGTCCAAGAGGGCATGAAGTTCGCCATTGACATTATGCCCGCGCCGACATCTGAAGTTCGCACCGAAGAAGGGGATGAAGAATGTGATAGTATGTCGCTTGTCCAACAGGGTGCAGCTTGCAATCATGTAAGGCAAAATGTGTTGGCGTTTGAGTTAACTGCTCGGCGGCCATTAAGTCATCAATGGTGCTTCAAGGTCTGGTGGCACGATATAGAGCATCGACAGGTTCTGCGGAAAAACCATAGACAACTTCACAAACGTGGTGCAGACTGCATGTTTTGTCAAGTAGAGTATGCATTTCGTCAAGAACTCCAAGCTCGACAGTTGGTACTCACCCCGGTTAAAAGGGTGCACCCGGATGAAGAAGCTAATTGGTATGTGGCAAGGCCCATTGAGGATAGGTGTGTCATATATCTAGTTGAGTTTGAAAGGCAGTTTCGACGAGAATATGGGACCATTGTTCTATGTCCTGCATGGGAGGACGCCACTGTGCAAACAGTGTTTCAGAAGATCATGCCAAACAACCGCTGTGGTGATAGTGATGATTGTTGGCTAGTTGATGAGCAGTTATCTGTATGGAACTGGTTTGACCACCTTGACCTTCCTGATGGCTCGGTTATCCAGCCTTATTGCGTCGAAAAAGAGACGCCAAACAATTGGTGTGCGAATGCAAGTGATACCGAGACTGCTTCACAGGTCAATGACATCCCTCGTGCTAGCAGAGCTGACGATGTTAGTGAAGAACTGGCTCCTGAAGGGGATAGTTTTTCCGGTATGCAGCAATTTACTAGGTGGAAAATAGATGACGGTCGTTCATCTGCCTCGCTTTCCAACCTGCTCTACAGTGCCAGTCACAGATTGCCATGGGTCACGCCTGTTCGGCTCCAATATGGGGAGCTACACTGGATGTGGACGGAAAGGCATTTTGATGTTGTGCAAGCCCAGCTGCGAACACAGGGGTTGACCATTGAGATGCAGTCGATGTTTGGTTGGTTGTTTCGAGCGCCTAGGCAGTGCAAAGGTGATCCTTTCCACTGGGGACTTAATCATAATAGCCCATGGTCCTTGCAAGTGGCAAGCTTGATGAGGGGGGCGGGTTTGGCAGACAGTCTCCTGTATACCGTCATTCCCCAAGTCCCTGCAGAGGCCAGCAGTAGTGTGATAAGTCACATGTTTTTAGTCACCCCGCTTGTTGACTTGTCCTCCGGGCCACTGTATCTAGTGGTTGAGCATGCATTGCAGCCACCTCTGTTAAGGCAAGCCATTGCCTGTGATGAACCATGCACTGTCAAAAAAGTCTTTGAGCTCATGGGACTAGGTGCATGGTGCACTAGACGGCACAACTGTGGAGTTGCCTTCATTCATGGGGTTTGCAGAAAGGATTTCAAGAATGATGAGATTGTTGAAGTACCCATGGCTTCAAGAGTCCATCTCTCTGTACAGTTGGTTCGACCAACTACCTGTGCTGCAGATAG